CAAACTATAGTATCTTGATGCATAACCTGGGACTCTTGTTAAAATGCAGAGTTTGATTTAGTTGGTCTAGAGTGATCTCTAGACTTTGCATTTGTAATAACCTGACAGGTGAACTTGATGCTACTGGTCTGTATACAACACTTTGAATAGCAAGGGATTTGGTTAATAACCTTGTTATTATAGATGTCGGAGATTAACCAATATTACCGCTATACTACTGTATGCCAGGAATTAAACTTGTCCAATAAACACTGCATGCATTCTGTATGTTGAAGTTTACTTTAACAGAGGAGTGATAATACTCAGGGATTCCAATGATTTGGGTTATTTGGTAAGTGACAAGTCTCAGCAAACTATACTGGAGACAAAATAAGTAAGAAAGCCCAACAAGAATCTGTGGAGGGGGGAAGAAAAAGACAAAAACAAAATGCTAGGTTATAATCCTTGGATCATATAATTTTGTGATTCACTTCTCAGAGGCTGGAATATCAGTAATGGAAAAATCATGTAAAAATCTCAAAGCAGGATAAAGAGCATGAAACTAAATAATAAATAAAGGCAGAAAACTATATGCACACATTGCTGCATAAGAGAAATTTACTATTGCCCCTTATTTCCTTCTTCATAGCTCTGACCACTCTACTAAAATGGTCACTTGTAGTAAGGCAAGTACCTATTATTTTGGACAATGAAAGAAAAAGTTATTATTTTTGACTTCTGAAATGTACATGTCATCAATTGTCTGTAATGCATTACTGGAAACTGAGTAAATAAAGCAATTTCTGGTATATTAGATTATATTTTCTCATTGGTCCAATGAATTGATCAGGGCCCAAAAAGTTATAATCAATTTCTTGAACAGGACCTATGAAATAAATGAAAAACAGAAGATTTGGTTCAGTTTAGAAGAAATACTGCTAGATTTTGTGTCATCAAACCTCGTTGAGTTTTAATGGTACTGCTAATTGACTATGTATCAAATTTCTAATCTTTCTGAATCTTGATTTTTATCATCTTTAAATGGAAATGACTGCCACAGTAGGTTTGTATGAGAGAGCAATGAGCGAACCAAAGTAATAGCTAACATAACATCAGGTACATAGAGGTGCTTATTAAATGATTATTGAAGATAAATCTGTATATTATGACTCCGAAATAATATTTATTGTATTTCAAGAGATAAATAGAACCTGTCTATTTACTCATTAATTATGTAAATAATATATATCCTATAAAAGCATATATGTGTTGTAATTATGTTAGTATATTAATACACACAAATATAAACATAATGCAATCAGCCTCGTGATCTCCTGAAGGGATCACCTTCAGCAGGCCCCTCAATGCCTATGAGTTGTGGTATAGTTCAGAAATAGCGTGGCATAAATGATATCTAGATGTCTTTCAAGTTCTATATTTAAAGTTTCCCTTCATTATTCATTTTAATGATTATTACATGTTTTGTTACAATGATTTATAAAAGACTAAGGAGGAGTTATGGTTCCTGTTTTTAAGACGATCTGTGAATTTAATTCATTGTAACAAAGAACTTAAGCACCCACTACATAAAGATAATATGATCACGTGATAGAATAAATACATACTACTTAAGACTCGAAACCCTACCTTTGGGCTGACTTTAGTACACAGAGTTAAAAGGACATGTATGGAATATGTTATAGAAGACACTGAAGATCGAAAAGCCGGGTCATTACAGTTTTATGATCATCTTTGAGTTTCTGAGGCACAATGTCAGTGGGACTAGAAAATGAAGAGTCTGTATAAGTTGATGATGGAATGTGAAGTTGAGGTAGAGAGGAAGGCGTCAGTCACCATAGCTTAAATCACTGTGGGGGCCAATTAGGAATGTCTAAGAGCTGTTCATTTCTCTTGTTGGGTAGCACACATTTTTCATGAGAGCAAATGACTGATTCCAGCAAAGGTTAATAGTACTCTTGGAATAACTGCAAGGAAATGATTCAAATCCTATATTGGAAATGCATAAATAATAAAAAGATAAAAGAATCTAGAAGTGTTTTCGGCTAGTGAAAACCTCTTTGAAATAGCTGCTTATAAAATAAAGGATCAGAAAGTGATATCTCACTGATTATGCAGAGGATTTAAGAAATGGGAGATAGAATCACAAGAACAGTTGTGATTTAAGTGGAAACTATCATAGCACAGGAACTCGGATGTTACAAGGCATAAGGTATAAAGAAGCCTGTTGGACAGCCCTGTGGCCAGCGTGATTGGGATCCCTGAGAATATTTACAGGACTACAGTGAAGAGGATAATTTGTTCTGGCAGCTAACTGTGATGGGAATGGTACTTGGGCAAACTGGGAATTCCAGAAGTTGAGAGGTTTTGAGTGGGTTAGTGGAAGAGTGGTTTGCAAGTGAGAAACCAGAATAATGAGGCCTTCCCTTGAAGGGAGGTAAGGTTGTAAAAGAAAATGTGTCTTCCTTTGAGAAAAGTTTGTAGGAACGTGGTATTGTGAGATGAATGACTATTAAGATGGAAAGATGGAACAACGATTGTTGTTAGGGAAACATTAAGAGTACTTAGAACCTCATCACAAGAAAAGATGTGTTGGAAAAGCATGGTGGTAAAGGATGTGAGTGTGTGTGATGCACAAGATAATTTAGGAGGCAGGGCAGGCAGCAGAAATTGGCTAGTTTTGCAGAAGAACTGAGAACTAGAAATGGCAGGGAGAAAGGTGACAGAAGCTTGAGAGAAAACTGGCAGGATAAATTAGAAATATGAGGGAAGAGTATGTATAGGTGTAAGGGGTCTTACCTTCTAATTAGAAATATTGTATCAAATTATATGGTAATTGAAAAAATATGCAGCCTGAGATTTGCTTGTGTAACTATTTTTTGCTTATGTGGCTTGTAGGGAAAAATAATTTAGGCTTGATTTTATGGGTTGATATTTCAGGGCTTTTGAATAAAAGTTGCTTTTTCCCCCCATTATTATCTAGGGGAGTGATCAGGGATCTTGATGCCAAAACTATGGAATGGGTGGGTAAGGTAATTAACAGAATACAGAAAGAATTAAAAATTGTAAAATCATCATTGGGACATTGAGTTCTTCCATAGGGATGTGTTTGCACACACATACATGTATACATTACATAATATGTATGTATGTATCGTTTCAGATATGGAAAAGGGTGATAAAAGATACTGGGGATTTTAGGATTTAAAATTATTATTAAAATAATAAAGTGGTCTTTATTATTTACTCATTTGAAAAATGCAAAATATTTAAAACATAAAAAAATTATAGAAAACAATAAATGACCACTGATTTACTCACTACTCTAACTTAATAGAAGTTCAAGTTTTGTATTTTTGTTAAGGATTTTTTTCTTTTAATTTAAACATGAATACATGTATTTCAAGTCAGTGGAATGCTAGAGCCGACTTATGACTGCCAATGTTAATTTTTCAGGAATTTTAAGAGCCAAATGATATTACATTGGTAATTTGAAAGTGGCCATTATAGGAGTATTTACCCCAAAGAAATTGAGAAATGGTAGAAAACACAACTTTATATTTTCAAATAGCTGTTCAAAATTTTTAACCAAAACACTCAGTCTTAATTTACTTTAACTACTACCTTGTATTTTATTAAATGGATAAGTTTCAGTTTCTTTATCCTTTACTCAGAAATATCTGGATCTTTCCCATATTTCTCTATTACAAACTACTGAGTTAAGCATTCCTGTAAACGTCTCATTAATCACATATGCAAGAGTGATTCAAATGTAGAAACATAGAAGTGGAATTGTTGGGTCCTAAGGTTAATGCATCTTCAAATTTACTAGATAGTAAGAAATTATTTTCTAAAATTACTAACAGTTTACACTTCCACCAGTAATTTTAGGGGATTTGTTTTCCATATCTAGTAGCATAAAATCATATTTTAGGGAGTATGAAAGGATACCCGGGATACTTAGCATTTCACCAACAAGAAATGAAGTTGAGGCTCTTCACTAATTATTTCTCCCTGTGACTTTTCTTTGTTCTTTGTGCATCTTTGATATATGGATATTTTAAAATTTAGGTTGAGGTTTTTCTTTTCATAGTTATTACATATGTACATGTTTTGCTTTTTGTAGCCTGCTTATTTTGTGATAGAGTTCTTTGTCTTTTTCTTATTGAGCTGTAGACCTTTACATAACCTGGCTGTTTACGTTTTGATGGTTATTTCCATGAAATATATCAGAGTTAGTGGCTGTTTTCACTGTATGATGTCTTTCAACACAGAAGAAATAAATTTTATTGTAGTTGAATTTTTTCACCATTTTTTTTTATAGTTTATGCTTATCGGTTTTGTGTGAGGCACCCTGATTTCATAACGATGTTTTCTAATATTTCATTTTAAAACTTGACAGATATGCTTTTAACACGTAGGTTCTTTTGATTACTTCTTTTTAAATGGTATAGATTGGCTATCATTAATGGCAAAGAGATAGACGATTGCAAAGAGTACAGAGTTTGGGGTGACTCTAAATTATTCATCAGTATTTTATTCTCATTCTATGTCGGTCACATGCTACACATTTAGAATACTGAAATGCATCAGACATAGCCTCCATCTCCTGTTCGGGATAAACTTATTACAGCATACAGTGTCTAGTCTAAGGGCTAAAAGAAGTCATACATATATATTCTCTGAGAGAAAGGGGGCAGTGAATCATTTGCCATGATGCAATTAACTCTTCTGCTCACTCCTATGCTCTCAGCTAATAGTAATTTTATGGAAAACTGAGATTACTGCCATCATGTCAGCACCATACCACTTAAAGGATACCAGTTTTTACCTACGTGCTTTTCCTGATTCAATGGCAATAGTAAAAGTTTGTGGGGTTACATAGACATTTTCCAGCTAATTTAGCAACAAGAATAATTTATCGCAGATATTGGTTCCTAAGATGCTTTAGATTTATGGAAATATTATGAACCTGTTTTTTAAACACTGGTTTTTGTTTGCAGAGACGAAATGGAGAAGATATACCCGTAGCCCAGACTAAAAACATCAATCACAGAAGATTTGCTGCTTCCTTTAGATTGCAAGAAGTGACGAAAACTGACCAGGATTTGTATCGCTGCGTAACCCAGTCAGAACGAGGTTCTGGTGTGTCCAATTTTGCTCAACTTATTGTGAGAGGTAAAGTAAAATTTCATGGCTTTATTAGAACAAAAGCAACCTTGTAAATATATGGATTGATTTTTAAACCTACTTATCTTCATCTGCAGTCACTATAAAATTATATTATTACAGAAGTTCTGATAATGTTTTTTTTTTGGTTTTTTTTTTTTTTGTTTTTTTAGCTGAGCCATCCCGCCACCTGTTGGCAGCTCACGGCTGCTCAGCTCGGGCTGACTCGAACCGCTGTTGCTCAGAGCTCAAACNGCTCACGGCTGCTCAGCTCGGGCTGACTCGAACCGCTGTTGCTCAGAGCTCAAACTCTTGAGCGAGCTCTTAACCAACTGAGCCACTCAGCCGGCCCCTGATAATGTTTTAAAGTAAAATTAAGACTGTGGTTGTACAGTATTTCCAACAAGTTTTCAACAAGCGTCTTCCATTAAATGGAATCTCTTTTAAAATCTTTAATAGGGCTAGCCATATAAAACACTTTGTTCCATATTGCCATCATCTAGTTTTCATCTTAATTTTAGATTTGTGTTTCCTTTTTAAAATAGTTCCACAGATATAACATTTGTTCTTCAGTCCATTGTGGCAATGAGAGGTCCAGGTCCAAGTTTCTATCCCATGTAGACATGTAAACTTGACCAGAGTCAAAAGCAGGTGTTGGATGCTCACTAACTCTGGCCCCCTATAGAATCTTAGAAAGTTAGACTTGCTAAGAGGTCCTCATTAATATTCTTGGATACTAAGGTTACTAGAGGAATTTTGAGGCATTATGACATAACAGTACGTGTCAGAGGTGAATCCTGCAGAATCAGTACAAGTACAAAATGTATGTCACCTTCATTCAAAATTGACTGTGTTCCTGTTTTATTCCATATACCATTTTAGGTGATGGAAATACAATTTTAAATATAATATAAGGTCACTGCCCATATGGAACTTAGCACTGGGAGGTGTTAGGCACACTGTATAGAAAGATACTGAAAATGTAATTTGAAGTCGTGTTGTGAAGAAAAATAAACACATGAGATGACAGGGATTGATATTTTATTTAAGGAAGGGGATCCGGAAGACCTCTTAGAGGGGTGATGATTGAGCTGAAACCTTAAAATGTAGATGTTTGTCATGTGAAACTTTAGAGGAAATGTAGCTTTGTTCAACAGACTATCAAGCATCCATCAATAATGACGCAAATGAAAATAATTATAAGTCATGTCCCTTCAAGGAGAAGTTTGGCAGATCCTAACAAAAACCATCTAAACTGGACTGAGATTTATAAGAGGTATCAGGGAAGGCCTCTGTGAGTCAGTTTTCTTGGAGATAGGATCTGAAAGTTGAGAAGTGGTTGCCCAGATGAGGGGTGTGGGTGTGGGGGACAGGGATAAGAGAAGCTTCTAGGAGACAGCAAACCTGGGTCAAAGCCCCAAGGCTTGAAGGAGAATATAAGATACCTTCATATTTTAGTTAATTCATTTTATAATGCTTGACATCAAATGTCTTTTACATGCACTATTTCATTTTAAGATTTCCTTGATTTTAATACTTTAACCTTTAATACTTTTAGAAGGAAAAAAAAATTGAAATTCATGCTGTTTCCTAACTGCCTAGAGCCAGAGATCTAATAATTGACTGAGCCAGAATTTAACCCACTGTTTCCCGCCACAACTGTAGCTCATATTAACTTTATTAAATAATGCTAGTATTAGCTTCTTGTAATGTTTGTGTCTTGGCAGAGTCTATAGCTCATCAATCAAAACATTTATCTTTGTAGATTGATACGACACTATTTTCAGTGAAGTATCTCTCATGCCTCCAGAGGCAGCTCAAATCACCTGCTTTAAGTTCATGCAATCACAGCCCCGATTAATGAATAATGAGAAAATGTGATAATATTTGACTCCAAGGTTCAAATAGAAAGGCCATTTATTTTCACACATGCTTGTGTACTCACCTTTATGAGCTCTAATCCAGTATCTTGCTCACCTGAGCCTACTTTGAAAAGCCTGCAGACGTCTTGGGTCTCTTCACAGCACTGTATGTGCATTTATTATGCAGCCACTGAGGGCATGGTGGCTCTTAATAGTGCAGCTAGAGTGCTTTTGAATACCATAGCATTTTATATATACATGTGATTGGTTTTTGAGGAAATGGCCCTGTTGATGTAGCCAAAAGTTTGTAGGAGGCAAAGTTGAAGTTTTTATCCAGGATTCCTTTTATAGATTTAACTTTCTTTTCTTTCATATACTGTTCATTTTAAGAGATGTATTTTGTCATTACTAGCTAGCTCTCTCTTCTTTATCTGAATTGACAAGTAGATTGTACCATTTTATCAAAGCTTGTTTTTCTTTCCCCTCACCTGGAGACTACATTGTGGCTATTCTAGGAGTGTTACTTGTGGAACAAATAATGTGTTCAATAAAATTTATAAAGGGAGAATCCTGAATATCAGAAATTTTGGGCTTTTTTTTCTTTATTTTTATTTTATTTTTAAAGAAACTCCTTTTATTTTACATATTTTGTTTTATATTTTATATTGTAACTGCTAGGTTAAAATATGACAGTGCTTTGAATGTGATATCCAGAGTCCAGTAACATTGTAGAAACATATTTTGATAGTTTGGGCAGTTTTATTTTTCTTTTCAACATATTTTAGTTTGTTATAGATCTAATATTTACACATGATAGTTTCCTTGCTCTTTTATTTGAAAACTAATATGGAGCAATAACTTTTCTGATTTGTCTGGATAACTACCTAATAAATATTGCCAACCAAAAAAATATACCTTTTGGGGCGGGTCAACTGTCCTGGTGTTGAAATAGTGCTGAGAATTAACTATGGTGACAGGTCCTGTCTCTCATTGGCACTTTCAAAGCTGACATCCTGTTGCATGGATACAAAAGATGGTAATTTTAAGGGAAATTTTTGGGGCAGTGATATGAATAGTCTTTAATAAGAGCTGGCATAGTATTGCCTGTTGTCAAAGATGACCCAAGGGTAAGAGTTTATTAGTGCGTTTTCTCCTAAACTGAAAGTGACAGGGGATGCTTAAGGCTTTTTGCTGCTGTTTGTTACAAATGAAAATTTCACTGCAAAATTCTCATGTTGAAGAGTATTGATCTGTGTTCCCACAGCCAGAGGAAGAAAAATAAAGTATACTGCAATAGAATTTACTTTGTCATGACTTTAGCATTGCTTCCAGATCATTTTGAGTAATGATAACATCTTCAGCCTGTGGAAGCCAATCTTTATTGACAAAGACGTTTTTGCAGAGATGAGATGAAGCGCAGATGTTTTTGCTCAATGTTCCCAGAAAATTGAAGTGTAAAAATGTGAAATACAGGTTGAAATGGTTTTTACAAGCTTTAAACTTATAAACATTAAGTTTGTCGTCCAAGTTTTGTTATAGATTTTCATTCTCTACCTCATTCGCCATCTTCTTTTTTGATCCACCTGTCTGGATCAAAGACCCACTTACATTTCTAGCCAACTGTACCACAGTGAACATCTATAAAATTTTTTGATTGCTGCGACTGACAAATTTTATTCCCAGTTGTTAGTTATGCTTTATATCTATTATTTTTAATCAGTAAAATTCCAATTACATTTTAACTTATTTAAGGCCAAAAGCACAGTTTTTGGTTTGTTTGCTTTTCTTACTGGTTTCATTTAAAAAAAATTTATTGTCAACTACTAGCCATTAACAAAATGCTCTGAATATGAGTATTATTATTTTATGTATTTTTAATGGATAGCAGTGAGCTCCAACTGTAACATAAATGTCAATCCATTTATCCAGGCTTACTCAGTCAGTGTAGGTGGGTCTTTAAAACAAATTTTGGTGTTTAAAATCATGAAGAATTTGGATTGTTGTTGACACTTCCCTTTGAAAGACAATACCAACTAGTTTAAAAATAAGGGTATCTACTGACTTTTGTAACTGGTAGTGTAGAGATAGGCTTTAGGGCTTGTTCATTTAGCCATGAAGGATCTAGTCTCTTTTCAATTCTTCAACTCTGTGTCCATGGTTTTGGCTTCTTTTCTAAAACAGTGTATGGCATAGGGTAGCAATATGACTACATACTTCTTTAGTCTAATCCACTTGGGGACAGAGAGGTTCCTACTTCCCACAAGTTTCCAAAATTGCATGGTTACATATGGAGAGACAACTATTGGTTTGTCGGAAAAGTCATGACGTATTTGTTCTATGTTTTTTGTTGCAAAATGCGTCATGACTTTTCCGACGACCCAATAAAATGTCCAGTAGAGAACGTTTTTACATGGGAACTCAGAGCATAAATAATGTTATTCTGAGGGAGTTATTAACTCTAGTCTCATGAGATGGGAACTGAGGAAATACTTCATAAGAAAGTACAACTTAACCTTGAAAGACATACAGAGTTTGGAATCTCATATTGTGAGAGAAGGCTATTATGATAAATCAGATAACAGTATAGAGTGGTATCATAAGTTTATTTGGTGAATGGTGATGTTAATGGAACCAGTTGCCTAGTACCAGTTATACATTACACATGTGTGTGAAAAAGAAAAGAAGTCCTAACTAACATTACATTTGCATTTGAACTTTTCAGATTCTGCTCTTATTATATTCATTATTTGTAGTTTATGCTCCATCAGACCCTTCTAGATCATCTTTATTTGCTCTAACACGTATCGTAATGTCACATAAATTATTTATTTATTTTTTTTTGGGGGGATGGGAACAGTGCTGGGGAATTGGGGAAAGGGGAACAGACAAGTTGCCGTCGCTTTTTTGTTCCCCAATCCAGCTGTGGAGGATGCCGCCCCACTGGCCCAAGTTGGCACCATCACTGCGCTCCTCTCTGGCGAGGCAGATCAGTCGCCGGCCCCTGGACGGCTGCTCACTGCGGCTGCTGGCCGCCCACGCTTGCCGCCGGCCACAAACGGTAGCCCATGGCAACCCACTGCCACAGGGGCTGCAGCCCACGCCGTCACCGGCGACTCATGGCAGCCCAGCTCCAGGTTGAGCTGTTGT